GCATGTGTACCAGGAGAAGATGTCGGGGTCCCGCTTCCAGACTCGATACAGCTCTGCCATGGACTGACCTACACTGCAAGATAGTAATCCTTTAAACACCAACATATTTTCCGTTTCGCATCAGTACTGTCCACAGTTGTATCATTAACTTTGACGTTCTTGTTAACCTTGTTTCTACTCTGAACATCAGGTAGAGGATTCGATTGAGTGAGTGAACGTCGATTTACGTCATGATAAGCAATCTCCTAACTATAAACAAGTGGTTGCTGGCATAAGGGACGACTCACGAATGTCGGTGTCTGTCAATATCAGCCAGGTCTCCCAACCTCCGTGTTCGTCTGGGTGCTGGGAACCTAATCTGCCCCGAGATGTCTACAGACTGGGTAGGTTTGTGATGCCACTATTAGCAATATCAAAGATCCGGGTTAGAATAGGTCTTCTGCAACCAATGCTTGCCATTAAAGGCGACTATCCTCGTCGGAAGAGGCGGCTAACGGGATCAGGTGGTCAGGCCAGCTGACTTGGTTGATGAATGTCATCGTATCCCAAATGCGTAGATCGATGCTCATGATGTCAATCACTGGACTGTCTGGTCCAGACTCGGTTATTTACCGACCGCCGTCATATAGCTGGAATATTGCTGAGTGCAGCGTTAAACAACAAGCAAACTGTATGAAAGGCAATTCAGGCATTGTCTTTCTGCGTGATAACACAACTCATTCACCACTGGACACCGCGCCCCTCTCTGGAACATGGAGTTCCGCGTAAATATTGCACATTCTCCTCTGTACCTTCCAAACACGTTGAAATAATCTGTGGTAATACTGGAGATAAGAGATATAATTAATTTTGTTATTTATGAACTTAAATTCCTGTTCAACATAGTTCAATCCACGACATAGTAAAGTGAGTGAAGATTGTTCAGCACAGCAGTCAGAGATGCAGGTAGTAGATGTAGCGAACACTTTAACCACTACACTGCCCTACCGCCCCGGGCTAATATAAGGTTTAGATTGTTGCAATAGTGGGTCGCGCTGCCTGGATCATTGCTCATGCTGTCGATCACCGGTTCGCCTGGCCCCGATTTGATATTAGGGAGACCGCCATGATCGGGGATCATGACTGTGTTGTGTAAAACAACATTCACTCACACACCCCTGCATCGCTAATGTATGGAATCCTAGAAGGGTCATTGTTGCGTTGTCGCGCTTTGCTTAATTTGGACACTTTATATTTGTTTTTATGGGGACGAGAACGCTACAATGTCCCTTCCAGGATTTCATATTAATGGCACTGTTTTACCGGTTGAAGAGAACGTAAAATGGCTACATCATGCCTATGCTATTCAAGGCATGTGGCCATTGAAGTTTGTTTGTTTGTATGTGTGTTATATAACGCCGCACTCTACAATATATACAGCCAGCTGTATGACGGCGGTCTGTAAAAAATCGGGTCTGACTTTCCAGTGATTGACAAGCCATGGGCATCGAACTACGCAATTAGGATACGATGTCATGCATCAACCAAGTCAGCGAGCCGGAACTCCCGATCCATCGAGAACATAGGTTCCTGGGGACCTACAATCTTATCCGGAATCCCCACGAGTAGTGTCCGATGAAGACAAAGCTGGTAAAGGTTAGATGGCATCCGGGCCCAAGTAGTTTGGCAGATCAAAACTGACAGTAGACTTTTGAACATATAGGTGTAAAGAACATGTCGCTATCATTTTATTTCTTTGTAGGTGTTTGCACATGTCGCTATTAAGGTTTTTTAAAAAATGTCTTTGTTAGGTCGTCATCATTGTATGCCTTTTGTAGGCGTTTGAACATGTAGCCATCTTTGTATGTCCTCTTGTAGGTGTTTGAAAATGTCGCCATCTTTGTATGTCCTTATATAGGTGCTTGAGCATTTGGCCAGCTTTGTATGTCCTTATATAGGTGTTTGAACATTTGGCCATCTTTGTATGTCCTTATGTATGTGTATGAATATGTCGCAATCATTATTTTCTTGTGACAGAGGCAGAACAAAAATGAAATGTTAAATGATAGGTATTAATAGTTTATTCAAGAACTTGATCAACCAGTAACAACAGAAGACAATAATCTTGCTGATTTAAGCGCGAAATAAAATCACTGTTAAAAAGAAAACCTTTTTAAGGACTCTGAAATTGAGCGATTCAGCGGGTACATGTACATCTTGCAGCGAGCGCTAGTTCCATTCTGGTACAATGTTAAGTTGTTAAGTGTATAAAGTGTATTCAGATAGGAATGTTTTGGAGCTTCAGTGTAGTTGTCAGTGGTCATTTATCAGCGACTACAGGTCACCAGCGCACCATCCTGGTGTCCACACCCCTCCCCAGTTCCTGGGTTTACCGTTAGAGTCAGCGGCTGGGACGTGGGCAGGGGTAAATGTGGCACTCAAGGTATCTAGTTTGGCCTTCAGCTGATCCACCAGGTCCGGGAGCCTCCTCGACAAGTCTCTGCTTTCAGTCGGATCGGCTGCAATACACAAGGCGATTGACATTAACTATGGTATCGCTTTTCTGCCAGTGGACAGAAAGTACGTATGTTACAGTTAGGGTTACATGGAGAAGGATGCACTGGCCATTGACCATTCGAGCTTTCCTCCCACATTAAGCTGACACGCCGTGATATAAATGGAATACAAACACATATTTATCTATATATACCTTATATGACCGATGGGTATTATGCAGGTAAATTAATTGCTGGGGTGACATGGTCATGACAAATGGTCATTTGCCTTCGTTGCTGTCACCCATCAAAACGCTATCCATATTCAGGATCCGTTGTAAACATCCGAGGCTCCTGATGCTGTAGTCATATTTGACAAAGCAGCGTCGTAATTCAACTGCAGCGTGGGACGCGCCCAGGTATATATGTTTCCCCTATTTCCATTAACGTGTGACCCGTGAAGATCCGGGGTAGAATAGGTCTTCAGCAACCCATGCTTCCTGTAAAAGGCGACTATGCTTGTCGTAAGAGGTAACTAACGGGATCGGGTGGTCAGGCTCGCTGACTTGGTTGATGCATGTCATCGATCCCAATTGCGTGGATCGATGCTCATGATATTAATCACTGGATTGTCTGGTCCAGATTATTTACAGACCGCCGTCATATAGCTGGAATATTGCTGATTGCGGCGGTAAACAACAAACCAACCAACAACCAACCATTAACTTGGATAAAGTGAGCGTGTTTGCTCTAACGCCACTTTGAACAGTATTTCAGTAACACCACATCGTACCAGCTTAATGAGGGGGAATGTCCGGAGTGAGTCAGGTCTTACACGCTTACCACTTGGGTGAAACACAGAAGCACGCATAACCTTCTGACAACCTTCTGACAAATTAAGGGATGCAACTCTGTACATTTTATTGCGGCACTGAGGTCACTTGGCCATCCGTGCCATCGGATGACAAGCTTGACTCTTGCTCAGAAGTTTGATTAAGCTTACAACATTCAAGGCCTCAGTAAATCAGTGACAAGAATAATGTCCGTTGCAATTCCCTATTTTGACTTGTACCATACGTCCCGTGTTATTTAAGTTGAACAGTTGACTTGCCTTTGTATGTGTTTGTGATGGCTGTCACCGATGGGACAGGATAAACTCATCTTTTCTCGAACATCTGTTATCATAACTATTTGATGTGATTCATAAACACATTATTATGATATAGTCGGAATCGTACAATCGACTCTGCTTTTTGCAGAGATCTCTTATGTAAATGCAAAGGGTTTTGTCGCTGTTATTTATTTGGCCGTGGATACCGCTTTTGGTCACGTAAATGAAGGGATAACGATGCGCTCTCCAATCATCTACTGTTGTTTAGCTAACATTTGCCAACGCCATGGACCCCATTAGTTCCTGGTGTCAGGTAGATTTGTGTTATTGGTAAGCTTTCGGGATCAGCATCAAACAAGTCTTGCATCCCTCTGATGACGATGTCCATCACGAGGATACTAATTGGGCACGTTTAGAAATGACTGTGTCATGCAATTGATATTTGTGTTAACATAAGGCATATGTAAAACATAGGCATAAAAAGAAAACGTTGCACTTTCACTTTAAGGCTCTGCGTGCGTTCATGGACGTTATATTGATTTCAGTAATCATTCCATGTACATTTTGTGTGAGTTTGTGAACTTTACATGGTTTGCATCCTCGTGAATTATGGAACAATGTGAATGGATGTCTACGTTTTGAGGGTGACAGATTATTTCACTCAACATATGCATTTTAGGGCGAGGCATATTAAAAGAGGAAACATGGTATTTCCGTTACCGTCGATGTCAAAGAGACGATATTTAACCGATGTCGCTCTGTTTCTCACGGCTCGCCGGCGTCTGTTGGTGAGTGGGACGTCGTAGATGTCACTTTTGCTACCAGGGCTCCCTTTGGTCAGCTTGTAGGACCCGACCCTGTCAGAACAGCAAGATGAGTCATTATACATAAGGCGGTGGGGTAGCCCAGTGGTTCGCCCGCCACACCGGTTCGCTTCCAAGCATTAGTACATCTATGCATAAAGATTCAGAGAGATAACTTCAACTTTCTAACCATCTTTGTGTCGAGAATAATGTTATTTTGAGGTCAAATAGCCAATTCCCTTCCACTGATTTACCCACCTGAACTAGAAATATAGGAGACCAGTGAGACCGCCTCATCTGTTTCATATTTAGACCTACGCATAAAGATTCAGACTGACAAAACTCTTTCCACAAGTCCGTATGACGAAAGGGATAACTTCAACATTCCAATAATCAACTGTCACTTTATGTCAAGCGATTTCCAGCAGCTCTAACTTTTGGTGTCTACATTTCATAACGATGCTCTTTCTATGTATGACCACCTCCGTTGTCCAGTGGTAGAGCGTTCGCCCGGAGAGCGAAAGGTCCGCGGTTCGATCCCCGGCCGCGTCATCCAAAAGACGTTACAAGATGGTACTTGTTGTTACCCTGTCTGCAATTCCTGGCCTATTTTGACATGTACCATTTGTTACCGTTTTTGTACAGGTGAACACTTGACTTTACTTTGCATGTGTTTGTGACGGATGCCACCGATGAGGCAGGATACGCTCACCTTTTTGCGAACATTATGAAAAGGGTTTTGTCACCTTTAGCTCAAAGAGTAGGGGCGGTGGTGTAGCCTAGTCGTTAAAGCGTTCGCTCGTCACGCCGAAGACCCGGGTTCGATTACCCACATGTGTACAATGTGTGAAGCACATTTCTGGTGTCCCCCGCCGTGATATTGCTGGAATATTGCTAAAAGCGGCGTAAAACCATACTCACACACTCACTCAATGAGTAAAGCCCATTTCGCACGCCGTGATATTGCTGAAATATTTCTGAAACGACGTAAAACTCAACTCAACTCACTCATTAGTTCGTATTTAAAAGAGATCAGTTTAGATTCCATTGATAGAAGTGTGTTATCGTCATATTACCAATCTATATAATTTGTTTATATTACTAATATCGGTATTTCATTTAGTGATATGGTCAACTGATTTGATGATATCAGTAAAATATATCTAAAAGCAATACTGTGATATAATGGTAGTTATCGTACTGTATATAAGATGGTTACGCGATAAATCGCAAAGAACGAAGCGTGATTTATTTCACGAGAAAACATTGTTCTATCATGACGTCATTTCTGGTGATTCGAATATGCGCTCGCAACTTGATAACGTCATATCGTTATGTTTTAGAGGGAAGTGTCTCGTAAGCTTCACCATAGATGTAGCTGGGATACGCAGCTACATGCAGTGGCCGAACAATCGCATCCAAAAATGGGAGAGATATGACAATCAGTATTAGGAGAAAAGGTACAGATAATCGACGTGAGGATTGTGAGAATATGCGGATAACACCAAACTTAATCAACCTGTTCGTAAAATGGACTTGTCCGACATTTCCGAGGGCGGGTTCAATTCAGGGAGTCATCATTTTAAAAAATTGGGTAAATGTTTGTAAAGCATGTACATTTTATCAGCATCCTTAGGAGGGTGATGTTGATATCTTATACAAGTAATAAACGACCCGTGGTTGCTTATCGTACAATAAAACACCCCATGGTTTATTCTCCCTGCAATGTTTTATTGTATGATAAACAAATCCCACTCATCGTGTATTTCTTAAATAACATATTAAAGTCACAAAATGACTGAGCTATTGAGGATGTGGCGCTCACTCACTCACGGCGCACTAACCTGATGGCTGCAGTGTTCTTGATCTCGTCAATATTGTAGACAAACTCTGTTCTGGCTGACGCGCCCTGGCTCTTGATCATATCCCACTGACTCACACCGTCGATGTTGTCGCCTGAAACACACGGGGCAGACATGGCATTGCAGTATTTCAAGGTAGTCTTGTTATGGAATCAAAACAGGTGGTCGTTTTTTACTTTTTTATGACAGCCATTCCTTGGTGGAGTAGCTTCGTGGTTAAATCGTTCGCTAGTCACACCAAAGGCCCGGGTTCGATTCCACTCGTGGTTAAAAGGAAAGGTTTTTGTCACTCTTTTCACGTGCACACTGTATAGTAACAAGTGTAAGCAAATACAAGACATGTTTAGGTCTAAACGGAATACTCTTTTTGTGTGTTCTATATAAACACGTTTAGGGTCTAAACACATGAAAATGAGCTATCGTCTCACAGACTAGCACCACCTAAACAGAACATCCCCATTATCTGAACATGTTTAAATTCTCAACACGTTTAGAGTTTAAACACGTTGATAATTTAAACATGTTTACGGCAAAATGCACTTATTGTGTATTATCCTAATCATCTAAATATGTTAAGAATTTAAACTTGTTTAAATATAGTGAATTTCATAGGGCGTTAAGTCAAATATCATGAACAATAGATATAATATAAAGTGCAATTAGACGCGCAAATTAGATTCAAATGCACCTGCATAACACATAAATCCGCCAGGGCTTACAGCGAACTTGGCACAATATCAACATAAACATGTACAAATAAACCAAGCAAAGTTAATGGTGACTTCGAAAAATGACATTTGTGACGACACCAGTCTCCGTAACACAGGTGGTGGCATGAAGATGAATGTTCGCATTCCACACAAGTTTAAATAGTGGTGTGACTAATAGTATTTACATCATACCGGAAACGGGAGATGACAATGAACGTATATCTGATTTACTACGATAGACCCCTAGCTTTTTAACCTTATTCCAAACGTCTATATCCCTATACAACACTAAAAACGTAAAGAAAGCGCCACCTTTTTTTAAATTACCTACAATGAATTTCAAGAAGAGGGATATACTGGTCTTTGCCACATTTAGACCCTAATCACGTTTAGCTGTTAAACACAATCCCAAACATGTTTAGGAAAAAACGTGTCAAAATTATGGGACAAAGAACGCGTTTATGTTTGTGTTTAGGATCTGAACACATATTTTACAGTGTAAAACACATGCCATGGTGTCCCCACTGAGATATTGTTCAAAGCGCGGTAAAACCCAACTCACTCACTCGCTTTACAAAACCAATAGTTTCGCCTGATAGATATGGAATCGTCCGTACATTATGCGGTACATGTAAAAGGTTCGAGGCAACGAATGTTTAACGTAGTTGCTTTAATAAGCATTTGATGGTTACATTGGATGTGGCAAGACAGATTGTAGTCTAACATTTAGTCTCTGAAATCGTATATTACACAATACCCTTCTTGACTCTAAAAATTAAAAAATCCCCTTTGCTGATTACTAGCTAGAGCTGGCAAGACTTTTGTATGCGTTTCTAGATTTTTTTCATAAAATAAATATATTCCACAGTCATGGTGCAGGACTAGACAGATAGTGGTATATCCAATAGACGGATGGCTGTCAATTGGGTAATATCAAGGATCCATTACCAATGGTTTTAATGTGGCAAATGTCAACCTAGTCCTAGTAAATGGATGTTAACAACACGTGTAAGTCGTCTTGAGTTTCCGATAAACCATTGGTCGCAAGATTTAGGCATCCTAATGTGTTTGACGAAGTAAAACAGCTCTTCATCATTCGTCAAAAAATCGGCAATGGACATGGTATCTACAAACTGCGCCTGTCGCAGTCACCTCGGGCTTAGATACAATCACTATGTCACCATGGTAACCTTTCATGGCATTTTGTAAAAACTGTTAGCACTGTATCGCTGTCCTTGTATCCATTAAAACGATGTCTCCAACAACAACATGATAAAAAAAAGCGACAAAACCTTTCCATATTCAAAAGAAATCTCTGCCAAAAGCAGAGTCGACAGTACGATTCCCACTATATCATGAGCATGTTTTTAAGAAAACATTTCAAAGATTGATGACACCATGTGTTTGCGAAAAGGTGATCGTATCCTGCCCCACCGTCGGCACCCGTTACAAACACATGCCATGCTGTTCCGTTGTTTGTATAAACACCAGTTCACGTGCACAAGTGAAGAAAGTACTGTTTCCGGCCATATAATTTGCATACTTATGCCATTGGGGTATGGCATACCTGATTTTAGTCATAGGTTTATGAAATGGATAAATGCTTGAGTAATAAGATAAATTAATGTGGTGCGAGCGTCCAACAGTAATAAACAAGACCCGGATATCTCTGATCCTGTGACCCCTATGTGTTTGAACATTCACGATCCAAGTTTAACAGCTTGGAAAACTCTTTATGGTTTTAACTGCTTTTCCGGTTCATTGTCATGTGGCTTTTAAATCCCAGAGAGGACTTTAAACTATATGGACATGTCCTTTCTACTGTTTACTGACTTGTGATGAAATATGACAAGATTCTCTTTAAAATATCTCTTATCTTACTTTGTGAAACTCCAGCGACCTCCAAGAGCGTTGGGTACCAGTCGACTGCGTGCAGGAAGCTGTGCACGAAACATGAATGTCTTTCAGTGAGATTATATCTACCAAATAAAATCTACATGCACAATAGGGTGGCCCATAAGTACGGTTGCGCATAAGGGACATGGAGTCTGTTTTTCAATATTTTGATATTTCACTTACATTTTCATTTTAGTTTTTGACAATTTCGCTTCACTTTTCAGCGATTCAATATCTTCTTTATACGTGATTTATCACATGTTTGTATGACAAATCGTGTTAATTTGCAAAAGGTTACGATAACAGTAAGTGAAATATCAAAATATTGAAAAACAGACTCCATGTCCCTTATGGGCCACCGTACATACAAAGAAACGTGTGATTTAAAGACGTCTGTTCATTTTCCATCATTCGTTTAAGGTTTTTTTTTCTTTCTGAAGTAAGTATTTATTATTAATAAAACAATACAATTAGTTCGACCAGATGCAAGCGCTGATAGACGTCTTTTATTAAATATAAACTTAAAACATGTTAATCTTATAATGTATAGATTTTGTGTTGAACTAACACTGGCGACTGAGTGAATATTGTTTCAAGCCGCACTAACAGTACTGCAGCCAATCACGGCTAGGTGACGTTGACGGTTAATATTAGAAACTGATTATGTTAAAGGAATGTCAAAATGATTTATTCTCAGCCCCGAGCTGGATAGGTACACATCACTCCATGCTTGTCGTATTACCGACGACTTGGTGATTTCAATGTGTCCTGGCCGTCGTATACCGACGGCGTGGAGCGTTGCTCATGATATCAATCACTGTGACTGACTGCCGCCTAAAACACATTCACGATCGCTCACTCCTTTCTCTCCAAAATTGTGTACCATGAGTCTTGGTCAAGGGTCACAAAATATTATATCATGATGTACACATAGCCATCGAGAAGGTTTGAAGGCAGAGAATTCCACTGTGACGTATTGAGGTCACGTGTTACTGTGCGTCTTCCAGCCTTTTAGTTTGACTTAATGACTATCTTTAATTTATAGATTAAACTCATCGATATGGAACCTAGGCCAGTACTCACTTTGACTGGGTGTATCCCGTGACGTCTAGATGAGTCTTACTGTAGACGAACGCCGGGGTCCTCACCCCACCCTCCCAGTAGGTGGACTTGCTCCCCCTTAGGGGGTAGTTGTTTCCGCCATTGTTAACGTCTCCTCCATTCTGTTTGAGATAACAAACAAAAGTGTGATACATACTTAGCAGCGGTTCCATGCATATGTTTCACTGGTGTTAAAACTCTGTTTACATATATCTCAGGACAATGTAAATGCACCTGCAGCAACCTTATTAGGATTGTGCTCTTATATTCGTACTTCGATTCTCTCGAAATACGGATAACTCGATCTATCATGTAATGGGTAGGGCTTTCGGCAAGATAAAACAAAAGGATGGATACGGTATCCATTTACAGATAAATATGCTTATATAAGGCCGGGTAGGAACTACTTTCAGTGTTTACAAACAAACATGGCGTCGCCCTTCTCTGTCGGTGATCGAGTCAGAATTAATTAACCATCAAGGATCTGGACAAATTACTGGGCCTAATTTTATCAATATAAAAATAATAGTACAATATTCCAAATTTATTATCGTAACGTAATGCCAGAACAGACAGACCTTAAACAATGGTGACGTGGGACAGAAAAAGCTAGAGTCACTTCCCTTTGATAAAGGGCAATTACTGACCTTCTGACGTAAGGTATATCAATGCGTACATTGCATGAAAACTTGCAATGTTTAGGTACCGTTAGTGAGAGATGAGAACAGGTTTTTCGACGACAGAATTTAAGAATGACTTTATAGTATGATAAAGAGGTTATCACACTTGTGTATTTTGGGATGGTTAATATCACGTGTTAGGAATACACAATGTATATAGCGAATTAACTTTATATTTATGGAGGGTTATGTTTTCACTTCATTTGAAAAATGACTATGTATTGGGTAACCCATGTTTAAACAGAAGTAACATTAGTTAAGGTTTTCACAACCTGTGACCTCTCATTTGAATGGTCTAAGATAGGCGACCTATTTACCCATGTGTAATTAATATTCCCAAAGGAGAACCGTAAAAATGGTTCTTGTCGCCATAGTAGCATGGGAGATAAACGTATTTAGAGCTCGGTTCCCAATTAAGAAAAGAGGTATCTAATCTACCGTTAGACTACCTCAAAGTTCAAAGCACAGCAGGTTTTTCTCCTCATAAGGTTCATAATTCAAGTCATCTAAAAACGTAAGATTTATGACGTGTATCGACTAGGTTTTACCTTGAGTGCACGCACTATACCCGTGTTCGTGGGTTTCACCAACGTTGTTTACCGTTATATAACGGACACACTATTCACAGCAGGGGTGGTGTGGTCAAAACGTTCGCTCGTCACACCGAAGGCCTGGGTTCGATTCCCCACATGGGTACAACGTGTGGAACCTATTTCTGATGTACCCCGTCATGAGAATTCTGGAATTTGGCTAAAAGCAGCGTAAAACATTACTTACTAATCTTTAACAGAAGACGAAGTTCCAACTTAGTCATTCTTCTCTCACAATTAAAACATGTCTGTAGATGAGTCTTGAATTTGCATAATTACAATAATTCTAGCTCCCTCGGTATACGTACGTCTGAAATGAACACAAGCACTAAATTGTCCAGGAATCCCTTGTCCTCGAGAGCTTTCCTTATCCGACCAACGGAATCGTCCATCTGGGTTACCATACCTGCAAATAGGGGGTGACAGCTTAAATAGAGCGATGACCATAACGATTGGTTGTCATACCAGCAGGTCGTCAGTAGAGAAACATCACCGATTTACGAAGTTCTGATGTATTATCCTCTCTGAAGAGAGATTTATCTTCTCTGTACTTGCCACTTTCAGTTGTGAAAACTGAATCAGAAAACGTATGGTGTGGTGTCTCCATTCAAAGACCATGTTTCAGGGGTAACTAAACTAAACTAAACTCACTCACTCACTCACTCACTCACTCACTCACTCACTCACTCACTCACGCACGCACGCACGCACGCACCTTACCTTACCTTACCTCACCCCATCCCACCCCCACTCAACTCACTCACCCACCCACTGAAAGGGATGCACTGTGGGTCTCGGCACTCTCACAAACCTCAACCGCAGTGGAATTGACAAACTGTGATTTTAGACTTGACGACCGCTGTGTGGAAATGTTTATCTTACCGCTGTAAATACGACGGTTATCGTTGACGACGCTGCTGTACTGAGCCTCATATGCAGGATCCGTCTGCACAAAGAGGACGCAAGTCATTCACGCGGACATACTGCCGTCGTTATTCAACAAGTAAAATATGAAAAAAAGTATAATAATCAAATATTACGTGATCTTACATTCATATTAGTATCAAAGCATATACACTATCAAACAATGGTATTAAACATGTAATGATATTTGTCCTTTGAACGTACATATTACGGTTCTACCGAAGTTAAATTGCTCTAGTATATAAACTTCTATGTATATCGTAGCACGGCACATATCAGTGTATTAATGATAAAAAAACCAAAAAAAACATTTCAGGGTGCTCAGTATACAGTAACCAGTGTATGTATATTCATCAGTGTAAGTACAGTTGTGAATGTGTACAGTATACGGCGTATGTAAACTAATCTCTGTGTGTACAGTAATCAGCTTGTGAACAATGAGCGTCTGTACAGTAATCAGAGCGTGTACAAGAATCAGTGTGTGTATGTATTCAGTATAATTACGATAATCTGTGAATGTACGGTAATCAGTCTGTACAGTAATCAGCGTGTGAACGGTAATAAGAGTGTGTACAGTAATCATTGTGTGTTCAGTATCAGAGAATGTTCAGTAATCAGTTTGTGTTCAGTGAAAAAGGTGTACAGTAATCAGAGTGTGTTCAGCATCAGGGGGTGTACATTAAACACTGTGTACAGTAATCAGAGTATTTACGGTAATCAGAGTGTGTCCACTATCAGAGAGTGTACAGTAGCTCACCTCGAGGGGCGTGTGTGCGGCCTGGTAGGCGAGGTACAGGAACATGGGCTTGTCGGGGTCCTGGCCGTTGATGGCGTTTATGGCTATGTCAGTATACGCCTCCTGGAAATAAAGAGAAGAAGCTGTACTCTTTAGTAGTAGTAGTAGTAGTAGTAGTAGTAGTAGTAGTAGTAGTCGTGGCGACAGTAGAAGTAGTGGTAATAACAGTCTCTGTAGTTCTAGAAGTGGTAGTGGTAGACATTGCAGTAGTAGTAGTAGTAGTAGTAGTAGTAGTAGTAGTAGTAGTAGTAGTAGTAGCGGCAGTAGTAGTAGAAATAGTAGTAGAAGTAGTGGCGTTAGTAGAAGTATTTTTTAATAGCAGTCACTGTGCACGTGCATGCGCTTCGCTATATAAGTTCAAATAATCTTGTACGCGACGTTAAACCCCATTTCACCCAACCTCAAATTCAAATTGTATTCAAATATATACTGCATGTACGTAATTTTATATATAAACTAATATTTCACACTGTTGTCGTGAAAAGCCAAGAATGAAAAAAGCGAAGCATGCAAACAAGAAAACAGCGTTATCACTCCCCTCCGCCACAGACCACATGAGAATTAGAGTGTTTGTTCATACAGTAGTGAATAACATGGAAGTTAATGTTACCTAGAAGAATCCTAGAAAGCCTCAAGAAGGGACAGGTACTCTGGTCGCTTTGTGTCATGTTATGTTTTGTTTATGTTAGGAAGAAATGATTACTTAATGATTTTTAGTCTGTTGTATTCAGTATCTTAACTTACCGTAGAATGTATGCCATCATAAGAGTGGTCGACGGTTGTGTTGATACGGAAATCAAAACCGTTACCTGGAATACAATGATAATTTTCATTCCGTTTCAACAAAAACAAAGGGACAGCGCGGTAGCCTAGTAGTTAAACTAACTATAATGCATCATTATTTTACTTTCAGCATGCATCCTCCCTACTTCAGTATCATTATGTCTGACCATTTAGTGGGGTAGCATGGTCGTCAAAGCGTTCGTCACACCACAGGATACCATTTTCTGATTAAATTCTGTTTTCTATGTAATAAAGCCCCTCTCTCTTTATATGCACTTAGGATCCATGTAGTCACACCAAAATACCGGGGTCAGTTTTCTATATGGGAACTAATACGCCTATGTAACACATACCTGGTGTCCCCAGTCTTATCATAGCCCATGGAGCTTTATTTATAAATATTTTTCGAGTGATTAAAATTTAAGAAATGGAAAAAGTTACACTTAAATCTGAGACCTGACCTAAGTCATATCCGTAACAAGACTTAGGGCTACGGTTTTTCTTTGAAGTGGCAAGAATAGAAGTCTTCTCGATTGCTTTTAGTGGCTTGATAATATTCTTTACCCTTCGATGCGGCTGGGAAAAGTAGTATAGTCCAGATGACAACTCTACAGTGTACAGGGGAAGTGAATAAAGATCTTGCAAGGTGATTATTTATTTCAATCCAATCTGTGACAATCATGTCATATTCGGGCATCGATTCACAAATCGTTAGACCATTGGAAATCCCATTCTCAAACAAGGACTTGTAGCTTCAGGACCGTGGAACAAAGTACCTTTGTGCAGAACGATAAATAGAACAATGTGACAGATGTCCCGTTATTAAGTGTCTTGTTCGTTCATTTCACCGGACAATGACTACCGTTAAGATACCGTTAATGAAGTCATGGCTGTAGATTACCGGAAGGACACGCTCTGGGACTGTTTTTATTATTACCACATACAGCTGTTTGCACTTATCCGACTGATAATGCACATCATTAAGGCAATATGTTTCATGTATAGAGGAGTGACACATATATAAACCCATGTGTATCTCTTTGTCGTGTGAATAGGTAGGTAAACAATAAACACAGATGTTCCACTCAACCATTTATCTGTCGCATAGCGTCAATCTTGCTTCCACGATCGATTAATATTTTGTCCAATATATTTCATATGTACATTATCAATCCCCTTCCTGAGATTATGCGCTTGTATAATTGTTTGTATGGCAATTTGAACAGATATATTAAAATACATTATATTTAATTTGTCAACTATCTAATAAGTTTATCTGAATTGAAATAATAGCCAAATATGCTGGACAACGTATACTCATAGTAAATAGAAAGGGAACAACTTTGTAACTGTGTGTTAGGTTCCCATTTAACTGTGATTCTCGATTATGCCAGATATTGTAGAGCAAGATCCCATTTCAATATCTTGTTCATGGGTGCACGGGTGGCCCAGTAGTTGAAGGAGCCGTAATTCGCTTTGCAGAGTTAACCGTGACACGGACCTACAAAAGTGGGTTCGAATTCCAGGTTCGTCCTGATTATAATCATCGCGATTTCCCAGCACAATACCCTCGCTCATGATGAGATCACCAACGAGGTGGAATATTGCTGAGTGCGGCGTAAAACAACAAACCAACAAACCAACCAACATCTAAGACCTACATTATTTCGGGCTCTCCTCACACACTGAGCTTACACGCCGTGAAATAACTGAATACTGTTCAAGGCGGCGTAAAATACAAATCACTCACCATCCTGCTCATATGGCGCATTAAAATAAACAATAAATATACTTATTTACATGCAGTGATACCTCTTTAAGTCCTGGAAATCCGTAGAAATTATGTCAGGTTCTCCGTAGATCGAGACAAACGAAATGTCCATATAAGATCCAAATGCTATTTGGCATTCGGATGAGAATAATGTTAAATCGTCTTAAATTAATATCGAGATATAGGAGTTCGAGATAAAAAGGTTCCATGTCTCACATTACCATTCATATGGTCATAATGTCCAGCCGAACCACCGAGAAGCCCTCCGGAAGTGTCGAACCCTCGATACGTAGGGGTGTAAGTCCAGTTGCACATCCCGAGGTGCCACCTGACAGAAGGGTAGTCAGGTTAGTCATCGGCGACAAAAAAAGTTGTGGTGGTTAGGTCATTTAAAACAAGGGAACAAACCCAGAGATTTCTACTGACTAATGACTTTATTAAAGTTTAGTGATAATCCAGTTTTTAAAAAAACAAACCAAGATCATATTTCTTTCGTTTCGCAATTCCTCTTTGTTTGTGAAATTAAAAGCAAGGAACTATGAGGTTAACGAACCAGATGCATATTTTACATTGATGACAAGAATTAATATGATTACTACAATTTCGCATCATGTAAAACTAATCCTTATGTTTGAATATTCATGAGTTCAGATACTGAGACGTTTAAATAATCGCTTTCTGTTGTTATTTTGTACTTTCACATTGTGATTAGGTTTTATGCCTCGAGTGCTCTTACAAGATAATGTTCCTGCAGAACATCAAAGTTCCCCGCCATATGAAATGTCTCAGAACCAAAACAGACACCCGCAACCACCTATGACTCTCAAATGGTCGGCCCTATAAACGCGCACCTGGTGCAACCTTTAGACACCCGCTAATGAAACAATAAAATACAAATGTAGAATGATATGCGTTGACTTATTCCGAAATGCCGGGGACGATGATGACAGTTGTTAATTTTGTATTCCGATGTATCCTGAAGAGGCTGACGCCGTTCTATTCATAAAAAAATCTGGTGACCAAAATACCGTAGCTGTGTAATCCCGGCATGGAAGATTCAAGTGTGGCCCAGTTATCTAAGTCGCAACGGTTCGATTTGCAGAGTTGTGTCCCTTTAATGTGCCCGAAACCTCCCAGATCGTGGGTTCGATTAACGGTTTTAACGTCTGTCTGTGACCTGCATCACTTCGGGCTTTCCTCCCACATAAAGCTGACACGTCTGATACTACTCAAAGCGGCGTTAAACCCAACTCACTCAACGCAAGTCCCGATCTCCGAATACACAACAAATTAGACAGAAATGAGCCTCATCCAGGTGCTCGTCTACTTACTTGCCGACCATGTGTGTGGTGTAGCCGTTATCGTGCAGTTTCTCAGAGACCGTACTCTTAGTTGTTGTCAAAAACGAGGGGGTGTCACCTTTGATAATTCCATGCTGAAACAAATAAGGTTAAGTCTTAGCATACAGTTCAAACAATCTTTATTCCTCATTTAATGACGGTGGGTAGCCTACTGGTTAAAGCTCGTCACACCGAAGACCCGGATTCGATTCCCGACCATGATGGATGCAATGTGTGAAGCCCTTTTCTTGTGTCCCTCGCCGTTGTTGGAATGTTGCTAAAACCATGCTCATTCACTGTTCGGCAATTGTCCGGGATTTGATCACAATAAAACATATAGTTCATTGAAACAGTTGAGGCATAACTGAACGTCGACTGCTGTGTAAGATCAACTACGGATATAACGAACGTCAAAGGATTTGAAAAATCAGTTGGTCACGTCCGCAGTCAACATTCACTAAGCGCACATGGTGGTGCCATTGGTCTAGGTTAAGGACCAGGATTTACGCCAGTCGCACAGCTACGACAGATTTGTGAACACGTACCCTGATCTAATCTGATTAATATCAGATCGTTTCACCTTCTTATACGATGTCACTGTGTGAAGATCTGACGTAACCTTCTTTGGGGGATGCTTCCATTCAGCTTATTAGCGACTTACCTGTGTGTGTGAACGAAGCAGTTAGATCAGCATATCTGATTTAGATATATCGAAAGCGAATTATAATCGGGGAATCCGAAAGCATAATAATAATAAAATAAAACATTGTTGTATTATGACGTCATTTCTGGAGATTCGAACTTGCGCTCGCAACTTGATGACGTCGTATATTGGACGACATTATTTTTTAGAGGGACGCGTCTAGTGAGTTGGGCAATGTAGATATACGCAATGGCCGAACGATCGCATCTAAAAGTGCAAAAAATATGGCAATCGGTATTGGGAGGAAAGGTACAGATAATCGACGTGAGGATTGTGAGATTATGCGGGAAATACCAAACGTTACCCACCTGTTCATAAAATGGACTTTTCCGACATAGCCGAGGTCGGTTTCTATTGAGGGGATCATAAATTACGGATAGATTTTATTAAGGCTTATCATCATCCAAAAAGAGGCTGTACATACTGTTCCATATACGAAATAAACGACTCGTGGTCGTTATTTACCGTACAATAAACAACTCCCATTCGTCATTCATTTTTTAATATTGTAGGGTTTTTTTAGCGCCAAGGCATATTCAACCTAAAGGGTGTACTATTGTGTGTATATCTGTGTTCTGGGGGGTTTGCTTTAAACTCATATCGAAATTTCCGAATCGAGGTTGTAAAGAAATGAAGCCGAATCATTTAAGGAAGATGACATGCGATTGGTTCAAGAACTCACGCAACCTTCATTTTGATTGGATAGTCGAGTCGCTCAGGGTTCACATGACGCGACCTCCCATGGAGGTATCCTCCGATTATCACGCAGAGGGGATCGCATCGGCGGAGTTAAAGCTTTGATTAAAATAGATTTGACCCTGAACACTCAACGACTATGACGTCAAGGTGGCCTAGTTCGAATCCCAGACTTCCCCCCTTTCTCATCCTTTATTTGTCAGCACCATATCCGTGCTCATTGGTCAAATAAAAGTGGTGAACTATACTATTCAAAAGAAGTGTAAGAGCACACGATTTTGACTATATGATCATATGACTAAAGTTAATGTCTCATCTTTTGAGTAGTATATCATTTCGGGCTTACCACCCAGTTTGCGTTCAAGGCGACTTAAAAAACAAATAACAAAATGTCTTTGCCTGGTATACCACCCGTCAGCCTACATATCTGTACGCGAGGTTGTTTATAACCTACCTGTAGTCCAAGATGATATGGGTAATAGCCAGTGAGAAGGGCACCCCTTGTTCTGAAACATCACAAATTACTGGATAATGAATAAACACTGATTTCTCAAGATGAATAAAAGCGACCCTTTCCGTAATCACATGTCATGTAATATATTTCTTTTCTAAATGACAAATCCTAATAAAAGTCGACCAATCGAATATCAAATCGGCCCAAACTCAAGGAGATGCTATCTGATCTGATCTGATCTGATCGACCACTGCATCCAGTCAATGTGCAGTGTGTTGAGAAGATCAGCAACCCTGCAGGGTCCTTCGCTTGGATGAGATGGACTGGCCTGAAAAGTGAAACAGAAGGCTTTCTGTTTGCTGCTCAGGACCAGTCACTTCCCACTCGAAACCATCAATGTGTGATTTTGCATCAAAATCTAAATATGAAATGTAGATTATGTAATGAATTTAATGAGAATGTCCAACACATTGTTAGTGGATGCCCAGCTTTGGCACAAACACAGTATCTTAAGCCACATGATGGAGTGGCGCAATCATTTTATTACCGTCCTCGCCATGCTTGTGGTTTTGACACAGAGGTCCATCCATGGTACGACCCGGAATATGTAGAGGGCGATATGATAAATACAAAAGTATTTTGAATAGGCCCGTATACAGCCTCAGACGTATCCAGGCCAACAAACCTGATCTTGTCCTTTTTAAAATCCAATGAAATTATTTATATTATTGAATTTTCTGTCACTTTTGACACCAATGTGATTGACAAGATTCAGGAAAAACATGGCCAATATTCAGACCTGGTGTTCGAAATGTCACGCATGCATCCCAAGTACCAAGTTGTCAGCCTCCCCATTGTTCTCGGTGCTTTAGGTTTGGTACCTCCCAATCTGATGACTGACATTGGGAGAGTACCCGGGTTTGCTACCAGGAACACAGCCCTTCTGACAATCTGGGTAATGCAGAAGGCTGCAGTGTTTGGGAGTCTTCACATTCTCCGAAAAGTTTGACTAGGTAGCGCTCCCTGGGAGAAGTTCCATTCGCTTTTTGGGCTGCGTGTAGAGGGGGCAAGGGCCCTGAACTGATGATGAGCCTAACCAGCCTGACTGCCAGGATCACCCAAACCCTCTTAGCTGTATTTTGTATTTTAATCTGTACATTATGCTAATATTGATGATAATAATAATATAAAAAAGCGGCTAAACGTTTATCATTATCATGATATTAATCATGATAAATAAAACATTTCCATAATCATAATGATAAAAGCGACAAAACACTTTCAATAATCATAATAGGAAAAGCAACACAACCTTTTCAGTAATCATCACAAAGATGATAAAAGTGACAAAACCCTTTCCATATTCATTATAATAAAAACGACAAATCCCCCAAACCTGCTATTGTTACTGCTTCAAGATATACATTTGTTGCCACAACACAACATTCCTCCACCATGTTCTTTTAACGTAAAACCAGGATGTATTCAGCTGGTTTACGGACCACCTCCGTGGTCTAATGGTAGGAGGCGCAGGGGGATCGAACCACTGAACATTCGCTCTACGGGCAGGACGTTACAGGCAACATACAGGAGGGAGCATGGCCATCGAAATAACTATAAACTTGCCGTGTCTGTTTATCTAGTGTTACTTGAATATTGTGACCTATATGTGTGCTAAATGTACATCTGTTGAACAGAAGAAACAATATTTTCGCCCTCGTGATCTGAAACTTCGGGCTCTACCCATCATCTTGTTCACCAAATACGATGGCTAGCCATATATCTTTTCACACACATCCTGGATGCCGCAGTATTCGCCGCAGGATCGATTCCCCACATGGGTACAATGTTTGATTTAATTATAGTTCCCAACTTACGGAGAGCACACAGGCATGACGTAGGATGAGTTGAGGATGACGCCCTGGCTAGCCAGATCCTGCAGGTTTGGGGTCGAAATGTCGGGGTTGTTCCAGCTGACGTCATTCCAGCCTTCAAATGAAAAAAAGCGCCATCAATAAAAAACGTTGTGAAATGAAACTATCATCATTGTTATCATGTACATATATGTACCGAAGGTCGTAGTGATGTTATGCCAAGGTGTGTTTATACGTCATTCGCCCAAGTGTCTCTATAATGTTGCCAGCTGATTTCTGCTTAGAACTAGGTTGTCTTCAGTCAAAATAGAAGGCTTATTATGCCTTTGTGAACTATACCACAATGTTGACTGTGCTGCAAAACAGTTATCAATAACTTTCTTCAAATAAACTTTTATACAAAAGTTGAGCGAATTTGGTTCTATTCAAGATGGCTCGAACTGATATAAAAGAATGGGCTACTTATTATTATTTGACTGAAAGTGACAAATGCGGCATAAACATCTACTCACTCATCCCTTTTACAGGTACATTACCCAAAGGTGGTCGCAGGTTATGACCTAGTTCTCCTAATTACCAGGTCACTCCCTCTCTTTTTATTCTTGTTTTAACGGCTATGATTTCTCTAAGTCTTTTGACGTAATGAATGACAGAAAACACAAAAGACGTAACCACAGCCGCGACGTCAATTTCAGCTTCTGTGCTGTCCCTGAATCAACACCTTCTATAATAAAGAGCCTGTGAGGCGGTGGGTTTGCCTAGTGGTTAAAGCTTTCTCTCCTAACGCCCAAGGTCCGGGTTCGATTTCCCACATGGATACACTATGTGGAGCCCACTTCTGGTGTCCCCCGTCGTGATATTGCTGGAAATCTTTGTTAAAAGAAACATGAAACCCAACTCAGTGAGTAGTATTGGATACACCCTGTCGTAACGAATGCCACTTTCAGTTTATCTTTACGTCAAGTACGTGTCTAGTCATGCAGTCAACCTATAATTTGGGGAAAAAAACCACTAGCATTTGACTGCACCCAAGTCCTCCTATTGGTATTATTAATACGTACCGTCGATGTGAAGTCATGTGCATCTCGGTAAACTCCCTTCAAAATGACCCTTAAGCAGGGGACAGCTACCATTAAAGTTACATAAATATAAATAATATTCCTATCTATACAGAAACGCGCAGCACTGCCTTTTAAGCCAAATGGAATTTGTTTCGGTAGATATTCGAGACTCCTGGAGTTGACTTTTTCTTTACTTTGTTGCCTCTGCAGACCTTCTTTGTATCTTTGTTGCCTCTCCAAAAACGTCACTTAAAACTCTTTTGCCTCTACAGAACTTCACTTAAACTATGTTGCCTCTACAGAACGTCACTTAAACTCTGTTGCCTCTACAGAACGTCACTTAAACTTTGTTGACTTCAGAGAACGTCACTTAAACGTTCTTGCCTCTCCAAAACTTCATATAAATTCTGTTGCCTCCAGAGAACGTCACTTAAACTCTGTTGCCTCTACAGAACTTCACTAACACTTTGTTGCTTCGACAGAACTTCACTTAAGCCTTGTTCTTTTACCTTGACAGTCATTCCAATGGTAATAAATCTCAAACAAAAGGAATCTCGATCTTCCCCCAAACAACACCTAAAGTATATACAATGTTGGACATTCAACATCGAAAGGCCAAAATAATGTAACTATGACATGTTTCTGCCTCACGACATGGACCGTAAATATCGACTCACTCTATGTTACATTCTCCAAGGACCAGCAGACAAATACAATCGCTACGGTCGCTGCCTGGTTTATTTACAGGATGAATAAAACCATATTCTAGTCATATGACAAACAGTCATGCTTCCCACGACTCCGTCGACAGTACATGTACAGATTACTGTTGCGGGGGCTATCAGTATTTTCATCGCTATTTTGCGCTTGACGCACAATGGAATTTCTTCCGGCGGATAATCGGGTCTGGTTGTTCTCAGGCCTTGACGTTTTGTATTTGAATACTTTTTAAAAATATGAAATATAATAAAATGACTCCCTCCTAATTTTATTATATCGAATAAAATTCTATTAATCTGTTAACTGTGGCCAATAAAGGGCATCGGAAGTAAGAACTGATGACGCACATTAGACCCATTTAATCATCTGTCTTTAATCCCGCTATCAAAAGGTCCATTACAAAGACGAATACAACAATTCGGGGTGGGAGTAGTGGATGGGGTGGAGGTGTTGCGTACCAGGTAATCGGTGTACTGAACGTAAATCTGGGACAACGCCATGACTAAACCAATTGTTGATATATTTTCAGATGTGAATATGACTTAATAGACGACACACCCTGTGGACCAATTAATCACACGGTGACACAACCAAAGGGACCAATACAGCATTCTTTGATCATGACATACGGTGACATGGAACTACTTTAACTCGATTAAAGTTCTGTATATAATATGTACCTTGATAGACTCGGGAGAATCCTTTAGCCTATTACGTACCAGCACAGCAGTGGGTTACCCTTTTCGTGAACCCCTGGTGTCCTCACTGAGTGTCAGCGTTCCATTCATATAAGTCTCATCACTATTTTACCTTCACGCCCAATGGATACTGTTTCGGCAGATAATCGAGACATATTATTCCCTATATTTCAAATATCTCGGGCAAAGTGAACTACAAACATTTGTTATCCCCGAGAACTTCGAGTTAAAGAGGTTTATATTTGGTAGATGAGTTTAAAGTAAACAGCAAACATTTAAACGGAAAACAATACACACCTATCTTGTACAATACGTCGTTACGACCTGATGTCTTCATGAATACACACATATTGAGTCATGCGTAGTATTAAATCAAATACATTACACAACGATCCTGTAAATAGTTTTGTATAATTGTTACAACATGATATCGTTATGACTATTTGGATATACTTACCCAAATCATCAGCAACAATCAACACTATATGAGGAGGGTTCGCAGAGCTGACGCTCAGTGCGGAGCAAACGACGAGCCAACACAACTTCAACATTGCTGTCATTATGGCGACTGCCTCGCCTGGACGATCCAGTTATATACTACAGGCGACTGAGCAGGCCCATAGTGACGTTGTTTGCTCACAGGGGCGTGAAACAGATGTAAGATTTTTATCGAATAAGTGGGAACGAAACACATGCTATTCGTGATCCACGATAATGGGGTGATGATTAAAAAGGTTTGAACTACTGTCACAACAAGCCCAAGGACAGATGGGTTGTCACCTTTAAAACGATAGCTCAGAAATTAATGAGATGTAATCTATCTAAAACATAACAACTGAACGTGTAAGCGTTGACGTGTGTGAAGGTGTGTAAGCGATGACGTGTGTGAAGGTGTGTAAGCGATGACGTGTGTGAAGGTGTGTAAGCGATGACGTGTGAAGGTGTGTAAGCGATGACGTGTGTGAAGGTGTGTAAGCGATGACGTGTGTGAAAGTGTGTATGCGATGACGTGTGTGAAGGTGTGTAAGCGATGACATGTGTGAAGGTGTGTAAGCGATGACATGTGTGAAGGTGTGTAAGCGATGACGTGTGTGAAGGTGTGTAATCGATGACGTGTGAAGGTGTGTAAGCGATGACGTGTGTGAAGGTGTGTAAGCGATGACGTGTGTGAAGGTGTGTAAGCGATGACGTGTGTGAAGGTGTGTAAGCGATGACGTGTGAAGGTGTGTAAGCGATGACGTGTGTGAAGGTGTGTAAGCGATGACGTATGTGAAGGTGTGTAAGCGATGACGTGTGAAGGTGTGTAAGCGATGACGTGTGTGAAGGTGTATAAGCGATGACGTGCGTGAAAGTGTGTATGCGATGACGTGTGTGAAGGTGTATAAGCGATGACGTGTGTGAAGGTGTGTATGCGATGACGTGTGTGAAGGTGCGTAGGCGATGACGTGTGTGAAGGTGTGTATCTGTGTATCCCATCACATGGTTTCATATCCTTCACCCACTGATGTTAGTGCAGTTAACGAGCGTCATGGTACAAACACATTGATTCAAGCGTAGATGGGAGGGGGTTAATGATATAGTGGGCGTGTCAGTTCCCCGTAAGTGCCATTAATGCTTTCATTAAAACTCATAAAGTGGTATCCTTTTAAACAAATGTATATAAATTGCTACGTCTTGTTGGACGGGGTAAACTGAGTATGGTTGCAGCTCGGTGTACCTTAAACTGAATCTGAGTCACCAGCATAGGGGATAAACAGGAGGACCGTCTGCACAAGAGTCTAAAAGTTGAAATGTTAAACAGGTTGATTTGTCCCCAATATAATAACGTTTTTGTGACGACCTTGAGAATAAGTTACGAAGTACTAGTTACTGGGTAGGGGGGAAGCATGAGGATCGTGCGCACAAACAATCCAAAGTTCAACTTTTAAGCAGCTGATTTGTCCCCCTAATGTGTAACCATTTTGTTGTGACGTTGAGAATAATCGACGAGCTACGAGGAATGAAAGATTTTTTGTCAATATTTGTTAATGAATGAAAGTGATACAGTCTCATACTATTGTTTAATGTCTACATTTCACAACTTTAAAGTACAATCGAGCATGTCCTCAGCTTTCTCAGAATTTGTTTGAACAAGGTGACGACACTCAAAGCCTCAGTAAAGCTTCCAAAGGTTTAAAGGCAGACATGCGGAGGACATTTCCACATTTGACGCATCAGTGACAATGTTTTAACTAGTACCATATGCTTTCATGTTTTTCAGATAGAGAACTGACTTGCCCGTGCATGTGTTTGTGAGGGGTCGAAATTGTACAATGGACTCTTGTGAGATTTCTTATGAATATGGAAAGGATTGTGTTTCTTCTATTAATAACAACATCAAATAAAACCGTATATGTAGTCATCTTCACATCTGCCTCATGACGTCACATTGGTATGGGAATCACAAAATAATAATAACAATAATCGGAAAGGTGAGGTGAGGTGACATTGGGTTTAACGTCGCGTCCAAGATTATTGCGCTTATATAGCGAAGTGCATGCACGTGTGTGTGGCTGCTTGTACTAGTCCGGACTGATGCCGATTTATAGTGCTAGCTCACTAAGATACATGATGTCGCACCTGACTCAAGGTGAGCATCCAGTCTTAAGGACACACCTTCGTACTACAGCTCAAAGTCACCACCCAAGGTCCCCATAGTGACTCAACACAATCTGGATTTGGGTCAACGAACACAATAATGTATATAAATGTTGTTGATTTCGTCCTTGATCTAATTCCTAGGTTTCAAGGTGGAATCACAGAATACGTTAAGGTTCACTTACATACAAACCACACAATTCGAACACAAACATTTGCTTCACTATCCTTGCCGCATATTACAACAGTAAATTGAAAAGCTTATTGACATCTGATATATGTGTGATGAACCATAAAAGTGCTCGATATACGCTACTGAATGAATTCTATAAATATTTAATAGTATATGCTATCTGTTGGCGTTTATTTTAGATATAATATATAGTGATAAATGGTTATATTTTTAGAGATGGTTACACACGTAACAATTACCCCCGCGAAGATCCGGGTTAGAATTGGTTTTCCGCAACCAATGCTTCTTGTGAAGGGCGACTAACGGGATCGGGTGGTGCATGGCATCGTATCACAATTGCGTGGATCGATGCTCATGATGTCAATCAATGGATTGTTTCGACCAGACTCAGTTATTTACAGACTGCCGTCACATTGCTGGAATATTGCTGAGTGCGGCGTTAAACAGCAAACAAAGAAAACTGTTATACACAATTAACCTACATTGTAATTTTTTAACAAAGGAATACTTTATCTATAATTGTCACAATAATTTGAAAGGCAAAATAACGTTGAAAGTTATGGGAATAGATCACTGAAAGTCAGTGATGTCACCAGGTGCTCGCGAAAAGGGTGAGCATGGCATGCAGTACTGGTAGCACCCGCAACAGGTATCTGTACATTAACACTGTCGACTGAGTCAAGGGAAGCATGACTGTTTGTTATACGACCTTTGTTATCTAGTAAATAAACCAGGTAGCGACCGTAGCGATTGTATTTGTCTGCCGGACCTTGGAGAATGTAACATAGAGTGAGTCGATATTTACGGTCCATGCCGCAAGGCAGAAAACATGTCATAGTTACATTATTTTGGCCTTTCGATGTTGAATGCCCAGTGATGTATATACTTCAGGTGTTGTTTGGGGGAAGATCGAGATTGTTTGAGATTTATTACCATTGGAAAAAAACATTCACATTAGAGTGAATGTCTGTGAAGGCAAAAGAAGTTCAAGTGAAGTTTTGTAGAGACAATAAAGTTTAAGTGAAGTTCTGTAGAGACATCGAAGTTAAGTGAAGTTCTGTAGTGACAACAAAGTTAATTGAGGTTCTGTAGAGACATCGAAGTTAAGTGAAGTTTTGTAGAGACAACAAAGCTAAGTGAAGTTCTGCAGAGACATCGACGTTTAAGTGATGTTCTGTAGATGCTTTAAAGAGTCAACGCCAAAAAGTTATCAGTCTCGAATATCTCCCGAAACAAATTCCACGAGGCGTGAAAGGCAAAATAGTGATGACAAGTACAGTGAATGTCCATAAAGCTAGTATCAAGGAGTATTATTATAAATTTATATTAATATAAAGTTCCCTACTTAAGTGTCATTTTGAAAGTATCCAAACAACAATGCCACTTTTACTTAAATGCGCATCACTGCACACCAATCTCATTAATACTACATCTTAGATCTCGCTACAGCTCAACAAAGAATTTAGGACATCCCATTAGGGTCACGGTATGTATTTAGGATACTCACGGGAGATTTTGGGTGCACTGGTGTCCTCCAAGAGCGCCTAATTTCTCCCCACAAGGTACCAAAATAAAATTAGGTGATGTGGGTATGCCATCCCTGGATGAGTTTTATAATTAGGTAATGTGGGTAGTTGGAACAGTCCACTTTACTGAATGAAGGGATGACAAGACAGCCAGAGATAATCATACATATTTTAATCAACAACATATTATAACAAGTAGCCTCTATCAAAAACTATGTGTCTCTTAGTGTCTCTGATTGATCAATGTGATTTCCAGATGCACACCAGATAGTTTCATTCACCAAGATTATGAGCAATCAGGTCAACATAGTCCATGATTGAAATGGGACCAGCATGCAAACTGTCTTTAGCCCTTCTTAACCGTTGGTCAATGGCGATGTACTTTCTTTTCTTTCTTGGCTCACGCTGATGTCCATTTTGCTGTGCCAACTTCACCTCTGTCACAGACTGTTCTCTCTTGATCAGTTTCACAAAGTCATACACGCAGATCATACACGCAAGCTATACAACGCTAATATTCCCACTTAAGGGCAGTGTTGGTTTAAAGCTTAATAAGCTATGACTTCACCGTTGCTCAACATGGCCGGGAGAGCGCATGGATTAGTGATCACACAGATTAGGCAATTTGGGCTGACCAGTAATTAGACAATGTGGGTATTAATTGGTTTAGGAAATTAGACGATCTGGGTATACTCCGGTGCACTAGTGTGTCGGATTGTCTCCCCCCCAAAAACTACATGTCAACCCCCCCACACCCCAATAACCCCACACTTAGTTAAAACAACAAAGGGTATTTACCTTTTGTAATAGTCAAACAGTCCAATGAAGGTTTAAGCTAAGTAACCATCGAGAGTAACGATAAGCTGAGAAGGAAAAAGGTGAAGATACCTATCATATTATCTGCTGGATGTGATCAAATATATTTATGCCACATATATGACAATAATCATTCACTGTTCTTAGGAAATGTTTATCTTTAAATGTTTTTGAATGTTTATTTCCAACTTCGCACGTATTGTTTCATCTGATGATTGGCAAAAATCACACGAATCATCAGTTTTTCGTTTGATCATTTTCAAACATTTATTTGCTGCTATAATTCTTTGATGTGTTCTAAACTGAAACCATGGAAAATTGGTAAAAAAAATACAATATAAAGTGTAGCAAATGCGTATCATTCCATCCAATTAAATATGTTCCTAATATATCATAATATTGTTCGTCAAATGTTCACCATGTCCTTTCAGTATGTC